TTTTTTCTGCCAAACTATTCATGTCAAATAATATTTAGAGTTGTTTAATGGCTATTCAAGCTGATTCTGTACAGCTTTCAAATACATCTATATTGCAATTACATTTCATCTGTTTTAATAGATATAATATTCACATATATTGTTCGTCATTTATGTAGGTGTGTGTTCTGAATAAAATAATACAAAAAAGTATGAATTTTTTGCTCCAAATAGGTTTTAGGTTGTACAATCAGTTAGGATGTACTTGCTCAAGTAAAATGAAGAAATTCAAAAGAATTCTGCAAATCTGATTTTAAACATTCATCTCAAATATTTTGTATCATCGCCCTCAAACATATTTTAAACAGGTTTAATTGCACTGGATGCTGTAGTAAATATACTACAAAGATTACTGTGATCCTGCTCTTGCTATCTCAAAGTGAATTTTCTAAGACAGCCCCTTAGAAGAAGGAAGGGAGAGGAAGACAACAGGCAATTTTACAGAGTCCAGAATCAGGGCATCAGAATTAAGAGTCATGGCGGAAAGGATCAAAAGTGGAGACAAGGGTAAGTTTGCACACCAGGTGTGCTCAGAGGAGCATAGTCACAGGGGTTCTGTGACCCCAAAATGTAGACAAAAAGCCCATGAGCCGTATTCTGATCAGCCTGTGAAGCGTCCAGCTGGTATGACAGTGGGGTCATATAATAACTGGGAGTTAATGGCCTGGAGAACCAAGAGGCTGACCCGGGGGCCAGGGGGGCTCAGGCGGTGGGAATCCTTAGACCTGGGTTAGAATTTACGCTCCAGCGCTTATTTGCTGGGTGTGACTTGGTGCAAGTTTGTTGACCTGAGTCTCAGTTTTGTCATCCTAAAAATGGGGATAATGATAACTATTTCACTGAATTGATTTGAGCCATAAATAAGGAATGGAAGTGCTTTCTGCACAGCAAGGTCTCATTACACATTATCCCCTCCCCACACTGTCCATCTTTCCACCACCTGGATGCCAACTGCAGGTGCTCCCCAACTTTTCCTGGAGGGCACAGAGCAGTTTTAGTGAGAGGGTTGGAGCAATCACTGAAGAGAAGTGTAAGTGCTGAACAGTACCACTGATGGCTGAGGCTTAGCTTTGGCTGGAAGCGAATCAACATGGCTATTACATAAACGAGTACGCTCTGTTCTACACTCGAGCCCCCAGTCTGCCCCAGACAGACTCTGGGTAGGAGGCAGGGGTGGAAGGCTACCCTCAGGGACTCACAGTTGAGCAACTGTGCCAACACAAACCATACACCTGTGTTGTGCATGGTTTGTGTTGGCACAGTTGTGCAACCCCACATGAAACATACAGTAGGTTCTTAATTGAAACATATTCTGGATTAAAAGAGATGAGGGTGCAGAAATCAAGACCAAGGCAGAGGGGAATTCCCTGGTGGTCCAGTGGCTAAGACTCTGCGCTTCCAATGCAGGGAGCACAGGTTCGATCCCTGGTCAGGGAACTAAGGTCACACATGCCATACAGTGCGGCCAAAAAACCCCCAAACAAACAAAAGACCAAGACAGAGGGAAGAGCAGCCAGCATAGTGGATGGCGATGGCGAGGAAGCAGGACCAGTGGCAGGGGGCAAGGGAGGCACAGAGGGGAGGGCAGTCAAGCTGTGCTCCCAAGGCAGAAAGCTTCTTTATCTACCCTAGTTAGTGGGAACAGTTAGTGCCAGCGAAGGTTCCATTGCTTCTTGCCTTAATGCAGCCTCGTAGAAGCTTAGTAACTAGGCCAAGAGGGAGAGAATTTACTTAGACCGGCTTTCAGAGGAGCATAGATGACAGTTTCATAATTAACTAATCATTCATTTCTTTAATGGGGAGAGATGCAAAGAGGAATAAAATACGGTTCCTGCCTTCCAGGATGCCCATAACGTCAGGTGTATGTGGGAAGTGCCATGCTGACAGAGAGACAGGGGAAGCTTTGCTGAGATTCTCAGAAGAAGGGAGAAGGCATTCAAGCAACATGTCTGTGGCCCCATTAGAAATTTTGTAGAAATGGAGGGTGAAGTGAGTGGGAAAGGTAAGATAGGCATAAAAAGGAGCAGAAGGGGCTCACCCTGGCAAAGATCTATGAGGGCAAGAGTTTCTGAAGCGCTTTCCTGTATGTCATGCTATGAAGTATGAATTTTTTGCTGCAGAAAAATAATTCAGGACTCCCAACACAGCGAAACAAATTTTACACTAATTAAAAAAAGTTATTAAAAAAGTTATTAATCAGCAAATGTTAAAAACAAAATGTTTGAATAATAATTACTTTCTGAACAAAGGATCTTTAAGTTTTAAGATTAAATCCGGTGAGCGGGTTAGATTTTTCACTTAGAATAGTATAGACCAAAAGACTGAAGGTACAGCAGTCTTATATTTAAAAAAGCACTACAGGAGGATTCAAAGGATTTAGGTACTTAGATAAAAAACAACAAATACATTAAAATTTTATTGACACACATGATAGTCCAGATCCTCTGGGAAACAGAGCCAAACAATGGGCACAACAGAAGACAGCACACTGCAGTTCTTCTATTTCATATGTAAGGTTGGTTTCCTGGCCCCATGTGTGTTTTTTGGCTGTTTTAGTGGCAGCGCTGATGGGCTTTGTTTCTCCACTACTCCCGTTCCTTGTAAGTGCAGAAGGGGACCGTGCCACTGACGGCCACTTTAACACCAATGCCAAGACACAGCTCTTCAAGTGACTTTTTATATATTTTGAAAATTTACAGTTGGCTAATTGTGGTTGACAAGCATCTCTCTGAGAACTAAACTGGGAAATTCTCCACTCCCAAATCTACATAATTTTTGGTAGTCTCTAAAAAAAGAAAAAGAAGAGGAAAATACCAACAGTTCCTTTACTGAGAAAGTAGCCTAGATATTCATCTGATTTTTTGAAATATGCTCCAATCCACTAACTAGAAATAAACAATAATTACTCTTTAGTTTCTCTGATGTCAAAAGCAGTTGTTTTAAGAATGTCTTTAAAAATTTATAAGGTAGAATGTTAACTAAGCTAACTCTAGTGATTTACGATCTTTTAATTTCATTTTGTTATGACGAGACTTTATAAAGCTGACCTTTAAAATGAAGTGTGTGTGTGTGTTTTTTTTTTTTTTTTTTTTTTGCGGTACGCGGGCCTCTCACTGTTGTGGCCTCTCCCGTTGTGGAGCACAGGCTCCAGACGCGCAGACTCAGCAGCCATGGCTCACGGGCCCAGCCGCTCCGCGGCATGTGGGATCTTCCCGGACCGGGGCACGAACCCGCATCCCCTGCATCGGCAGGCGGACTCTCAACCACTGCGCCACCAGGGAAGCCCAGTGTGTGTGTTTTTAAACGAATCTTCTTTTATTTCATAAGTGGAAAAATCCAGGAAATGTGTACCTCAAGGGAAATCCGGTGAAATCTTGGTTCTCCGTAGAAGATAGGAGAAAGGAATAATGAAGCACTTCATGGCTATTAGGAATAGTTACTATCTTAGGTCCCCCCATACCCGCTACAGTGTTTTCATTTCTGTGTCATTTGCTGCAGAAAATGAGCTAGTGCTAATACTATCTCACCTTAAGGGCTAAGACAACTGAGGCTGAGGGCTTTGCCAAAAATCACAAAGGTTTTCTGACTTTGAAGTGCAGTGTGCATTCTTATAGCTCAGATTTCCACCCAGGGCGAATTTGATGACAATGACAATTTGATGTCAGAATTTGTTCTAGGGAAAGGCTCGGATGAACTCATTCACACTGGATGTGAATGACAGAGAAAGCTCAATGTTTGTTTTTTTTTCTTATTTTTGTAGTAGTAAACCTGGGTGTTTTGTAGTTATTAAGTGTGAGAAAATGAGAGCTCTTGCACCCGAAGCTGGGCTATAAATGGTAAAGCCTACTTATTATAATTTAATGGACAGTGCTTCCAAAATAGAAATTCACTTAAATTTACCTAGTAAGTTAGGTTAACCTAGTAGTTGGGTTAAGAAATACTTTGATTAAAACCACACTGCAAAATGGGGAACCTCAATGGATTGCTTTAAACTCTTGACCTCAAAGGAAGGAAACAAACTAACCAATAATGATAACTTGGAGAGAAAAAAAAAGGTTTAGGATCCATAACAGATTCGGAGTTAACAATGTAATGATTCAGCATTTTGGAGGCCAAGTAAAACCAGACTTGTGGGATGCACGTCAAGTGGCATCTCACTGTGTACAGCACAGAATTTTCTCTTCCACGTCGCACGTTGTCGAATATCTCCTACTATATCTCTGCAGGACCTCCACCTAATGTTAATCCCCCTCCTCACAGCGGTCGGCCTAGGAACGCTGCGAGCTGTAGGGAATCCTTGGACAATTCTTTACCAACCCCCTCGCAGCCACTGGCCCCACTGCCCCCAAGCTGCGGTCCAGGTCAGTTTCTACCGACGTGCAGCCATCGCCAAGACAAAGGAGCCCCAGAATGCCTTCGTAGCCACTGCTTGGCCTGGAGTCTTCTGTTTTTTTGGGTTTTTTTTTAAACAGGGTAAGGAGAGCAGTAATAGTGTTTTAGCAAGAAGTACTTTCGGTCTCGGTCAATTGATCTTTAGTTATCATTATGCAAATTTACTTTATAGCCCTTTTATATCTCTCGCCAAGCCACTTCACACACCAATTTCCCTACTGTGCATCGCCAGACAACTGTGGCGAGTGCCGGGAGGGAAAGGGCGGGGAAAGCGCGCGGTCAGCGGGCTAGAAGAGTGCCTGGGCGGCTGAGATAAGGCCCGCTCAAATAGGCCTTCTGGGCCGCACCACGGCTAGACCCGCGGGGATCCTCTTCCCCCATCGCGGGCCTTGACGCGGGGTGGGGCGGGGCGGGCGGACGCGCCACGTCTCAAAACCAATCGACAGCGCCGGGCACTATTCAAAAGGCCGAGGGGCCAATGGGAGCCCTGGGAAGCCTGACTGGGGGGGCGGGACGAGGAGAGGGCGGGGCCGGGGGGCGCGCGCCCGGACTGCGGGACCGCGGGGCGCGAGAGCGCGAGAGCCGGCAGTGTCGCGCGCGCGGAACTGCCGCCGGGTAGCTGCTCAGCAACTCTCCTGGAGCTGTTCGTGTTCCCGCCGGAGTCCGGAGCAGGTGAGCGCCCGTACCCACGCCCCGCTCCCCACGGCTCAGTCTCCGAGGGGCCGGGGGGAGGCCCGCGGGGCGGGCGGGG